ACGCTTCAAAGTATATGCAAAATTACTATAGTATTTATAAATCGACTATATTATATGGTGAAAAAGATGTTATTGGACCTAGACTGACTGTAAACATTTAAGGGAAAATAATAATGACAACTAATCACTTTTAAAACATTTTTACACATATTTGAATATTTACGAGCTCTGTGAGTAGAAGAAGAGCACTAGAGCTTATAAACGAGCATGTATGGCTGACTTGGAAATGATAGCAGAAAAATGATGTAAGAAAACCAAATATGAGACAACTGCATGATACAAGGATTAGGCTAGCATGAAAATATGATAAATTAGAGCAACTAGTCAAGAACAAATAAGGCAAGCCAATCACTGAGATTCAAGAACAGATGAACAGGCGTGTAAAACACTTTGAATAACTCTTGAATAGATCAGCCCCATTGAACTCACCGGACATCAAAGCAGCAGCTACAGACCTTCCCATGGCTGTCACCTTACTAACATTAGAATAAATTGGCATAGCCGTCAAATAATTCAAGAGGGGGAAGCAATACGAAGAGAATATATACCAGCTGAGGCACTAAATTCAGACGTAGAGGTAACTGAAAAAGTGCTCCACGCTTTGTTCGGAAAGGTTTCGGAGGAAGAGAAGTACCGGCAGAGTAGGAAGAAGGATATCGCATTAAGTTAGCAGTGAGTGCGAGAACTACATAGGCATCACACTGCTGTCAGTACTAGTAAAGGTTTTCAACAAAGTGTTGCTGAATAGGATGAAAGATTCAGTAGACAACCAACGTTAAAATCAACAGGCTGAATTCAGTAACGATAGGTCGTGCACAAACCAAGCTGTAACACTACGGTTCATCGTTGAACAATCGATTGAATGGAACTTGTCACTATGTATCAACTACCTTGACTATGAGAAGGCGTTTGGCAGCATGGATAGGAGGACCTTATGGAACCTTCTTCGACACTATGGTGTACTTGACAAGATCGTTACTATATGACGGGATTCTTACGACAGACTACACTCTAAAGTCGTGAATGGAGAACGGCTGGTAGATTCATTCCAAGTGAAGACCGGTGTTAGACAAGGCTGTTTATTCTCCCCTCTTCTCTTTCTTCTCGTGGTAGACCAGAGTATGAAAGCCCATAAATCTGGGGAACAACAGGGAATACAATGGACAGATTATATGTGACTGGACGATTGGATTTTACAGATGATCTAGTCTTCCTATCCTATTCACAGCAACAAATGCAGGTGAACATACACAGTGCACAATTGCGCCTCAACATTGACTAAACTAAAACCAAGATCCTGAGATGAAACCATGAGTAACGATAAAAACACACTTGATGGAGAAGCTCTGGAGAAGGTGGAAAATTTCATGGACCTGGTAAACAAACCACCTTTAAGCTGAAGAAGAAATTGTTCGCCTAGCCCGTCCAGTTTAGTCCAGAACGTCAATAACAGCTTCCAATATACGAATCATGTATTTCAAACGTACTTGGTTTTTATACCAGCCAAATAGACCCCATCACACCATAAAACATGAAATAATATTTATACAAGATCAAGCCAAAAGTGGCTGTGAACGTGTGAGACTGTAATCAATAAACTGAGCATAATCATAATCTATAGGTCAAAATGAAGCTTATAATAAGGGAAATATAGATATACATAATCTGGTTGCTGATTAGTTATACAATAGGAATATATATAATGTTAATCCATCAAAAGTCCTCAGAAGTTACCCGTAATTTAATCTTCACTAGGATATAACAGTTTCCCAACTCAGTTATGAAAACCATATAATATCTTAGTACATGTATAGCCCAGTACATTTCGTTAATTTTGCACTCAGGTACGCAATTAATCGTATTATCTTCAATAACTCTGTGGTATTTACTATAAAACGAAGTCACTCGAATTTAAACAACTTATTGTCGGTATTAACGATCGAACTAGTTCATTGATAATGTTTCGTTTCAATATGATGAGAACTGACTTAAATTTCGGTTTACGAACACTTGCTTATTTGCTTTCTTAATGGTTAAAGGCAGTAAGGTTTAGGAATATATATAGACAAGGTGGACTTTAAATCACAGATAAACTAATTCTGCGAAAGTTAACAAGTAAAAAATCTAAATGATAGTCGCGTACTGTTTTCAAAGTTAATCAAATATGATTATTTTTCAAAAGGATTCTCTGGCTTCATCAATGCAGATGCTGCATTAATGAATTCACTAAGTCGAAATTTCCTCGGATTTCTGGACACGTCCCACTGTTTTGTAAAATATGTGTTTAAACTTATAGAAGGTACAGATAATTAAAATATTCTTCAATTCTATTGCCATTATCTATGCACCACTTCACATAATGTGTTCAGACAGCGGTTTTCAATTAGAAGAATGTCCTTTACACAGTAGATGATAACAACCGTGAACAGATCTGAAAGTATTACTCACTGTTTTAACATGGTTGTCTGACTAGCGTCTTATCTAAAACTGCGCAATAAATATTGACCGATATGGAGATAAATCACACTTACCTAATAAATTTGAGACAGCAAGTGAACTTTCAAAGTTGAGTTCCGCTGAAGTACAAAAGATACTTGACCCATTGTCTATTCACGACACCTAGGTGAATCTATAGCAATGATACGATTAGCAACGAGCTTGATTAACTAAGGGAGATACTGATCATCAATTGATATCCATCTAACTAGAATCATTGAAAAATATCTCAACCTGAATAACAATGTGAAAGAGTGTTTATAGCAACAAAGAAAACTCTCTTTATGAACATCCAGTTTAAAGGAGATACTTATGCAGAAGTTCCAAAAAGTAGACTTTCGGAATCTCTGAGAAAAATATTAATTTTGGCTGTAATTTATAATGTCTTCTCTAGTCAGTCTTTAATTCGTAGTAGTGCGAAGGACAAGCTTCGCCTTGGATCAAATCAATGTGCATCTATCAGCTTACTTATTCATTTGGAACATCATATCGCTCGTTTAAAACAAGCTATTTCGAAACACATCTTCAGAAACTTCCCTCCTAGCCATCTAAAGGACTATAAAATTCAGTCAAAAGTTCAAACTCGTAACATCTTGTTACTTTTCATCACTATGGTTCACCAGAAACCTCCATCCATATCATTCACATAGTGAGAAGAATCGGTTCAAAAAGAATGTAAAGTAAACGATATGCACAGAAAAGTCTGTAGTGATCCACCAGTTCAAGACTAACGTTTGCGTACAAAAACAGTATGTTCAATCCCTATTCTTTCATGATCTTATCTTTTCTTACTATCTTCCATAATCTATCGTTTTTATTCTCTTTTGGAATCATTTCCGCAACCATTAATTAGCCATTATCACAGCTTTTAACTATCCTGTTCTTAATATCTACCATGTGGACAGTTATATTCACCTCATTATTTCTCATTAGTAGTTGCATTTCCTTTCAATATCTGATTTCGATAAACAATGGAACGATCGTAAATACGATTATGAATCTCAAATAAATGACATCACTGAAAGTAAAATTCTGTTAGCTTAATTGTTTGTATTCTTCTTCAAACATGAGACAGATTGTGGGAGTTTGTGAAGAGGGAAAAGGTTTAAAACCACAGAAGTTACATACCATGTTTTGTAGCCACCATTTGTGATATTTTTGTTCACTCAATGGATGCATGGCATATACTGGAAAATCACTCTTTGTTTCAAACCTTATTAATTCTTATATTACTGAATTTCTCATCAGATGCGTTCACATGTATTAATGACTTAACTTTGGGTCTGTTTTTAATTGTCTTGTATGGTACCAGTTACAAACAAGAATAAATACAGAAGCTTGTTTGTAAATTGCGTAGTAATGTCAACTTATGAAAATTTACATTGTTTCTTTGTTTTACGCTTGAGAATATGCTGTTAAGCTATTCAGACACACCAAAATGAGAAAGTTCGGATTATAGTCCAAATAAATTCTAATTTTATTTCAATAACTTGGCAACATTTTAGAAATCAAACTCCACTAGTGTTGTGAATGAGCAGACAAATATTCAATAAATCGCTCCTACCCCGTTGAAGTATAAAAAACATTGATAAATCTAGTTGTTCTGAGCTATTATTCCCGGTATTCAGTGCATATTCTTTAACATAACTAATTAAATGTAGGTGATATTTCAGTACACGTACGTGTTATATAAATATGATTTTGGAAGCATTAACGGTTTACAGTTATATATAACATGTTGGGAATAAGATTGTTATAGTATAATTGTTAATTCGGAAAATAAATAAACAGATTTTCCAACTCTTTCAAAAAGATCAGTACCATCGGTTAAGCGAACAGTGTTTTTACAAACTAAGCAACTGATATTCATATTTTACAATGTTGATTTTACTACTAAACAAATTTATATTTCGTTATAGTTTGATTTTAATGAGGTTATATTTCTATATTGTTTGCAACATAGACATTTTTGTAAACTCTAATGCACTCGAAACAAAAATTGCTGGACAAACTTAGGGTGGATCTTTCCGTACTCCTATAAGTTTATGTTGAGTATTTCAATTAGGTTATATGACCGTTTTAAACAGAAATCATCGGTGCCTAAAGCCACTACTTTTGAGATAAAATTAAAAATAATGTATGATAGTAAAATCTTGGTTGATAATAAAACGTAATATTTAGGTGGATTTCGTCATGAACTGACATTAATTAGGACACTATTGAGAACTATGGAGGATTAGACAGCTGTTTTATCCTGATATAGGCCTTCTCAGAGCTTTGAATCCATGGCAGGGCTCGAGCCTTGGAAATTAAGATCTCTTGAGGAGCTTAATAACTTTAGATTATTGTGTAGGAATTTATCCAGTTCTGTTACATTGTCTCTTTCCAAAGGGAATAATTACCTAACGAAGTAGGGTTAAGTTCATGAACAGCAAACCTGTAATAAACCATAGTAAAATGAACGATGATGTTATAGTTCAAGGCTTAAATGACTCGATGAGTATCCTAGTATATATTTGTTTTTTTTTGTATATCCTAGATGTGAACTAAAAAAAATTCCGTCACAAATTATCTTACAGAAAAATTCCTGTAAGTCAATTTCCAAAGTAAATTATGATACGATATTTTTTTAAACTGAATGACAATAAAAAAATTATTATTGCAAAAGTTTAAAAGTAATCTAAAAATGTTCGACAGTTTTTATCAGAAATACTTAAACAATATATTCGTTGATTTATCAGTCATAACAATGTTCATAAAATCGAGTTGCACCAGACTCATTCCATGCTAAACTACGTCTTACACCATGTCGAACTCTAGATCCAGTTAACCATGACGAATGACCGTAGTAATCACGATCAGCACTGCCCAAAGCAATGGCTGAACTAGCCATTGTTAAACGTCTTGCCATATTTAGCATACTTGTTGTTTCGTGCTTATGTGAGGATAATGTTTGGGGTTGAAAGGAATTTCTTGACAAGTGCTGTAATGCCATACTTAAACGTCTTGCTTGAATGTGATCGATGCCTATGACAACGGGTGTATTTGGTGATGTAGTTAACTGTACAGCAGATGACTCTTCAGGAACTTTTAACAAATTACCGTCGTAATTAGTGCTACTAACAACTATTTCATTAACAGCAGTGCTGGTGCTTGTAGTCTTCAACTGGTTCGATGTTGCTATTGTCAAAGATGGGATTAAGGTCTTATTTTCTGTATTCGGAAGATCTTCAGCAGCTAGTGCAAATGGTACGGATTGTGGATTAAATTTGTTTGAACTTGTACGTTTAGTGAAGCACAACTGAACTAGACAACCAACTGATGTCAAAGACAATATGCAACCAGTTATCAAAATATTCCTTATATGCAATAGGTATCCAACCAGAAGAAATAAAATACTCAAGATTAAAGTAAATAATAGAATAATTCTTACTGATAAAAAGCAAAATATTCCTTTAAGATATTTTAGTTTTTTACGCCTTGATGCTTTGCGGTGTATTTTCTTCAATTTTGATAAGTGAGCTTCAGGAGATACAGAGTCTATGTAATTTTGTGATGTAGAGCTTTCAGTCACGGAGGACATAGTCGATGAAGAGCTGCTGTAATAATTTTTACTTCCAGCATTTGATGAATTGTCCACAGATCTAGTGTCAACATTTTCGTGATATGATACATTTCGCTTTGATTTTTGTTTTAGAATTTTGTTATTATCCATAACGTTTTTACAATTATTAACATCTTTCTCACCGTGTGGATTATTTTGTTGTCCCACATTAATGGGTAACTGCTGTTTCATAATGCCTTCATCAATTCTATTGGTCATTAATAGGTTTTTACTTTCATGTTTAAAACCTAATGATTTTGGCACGTTTTGTTGATGTTTACCTGAAGTAGTTTCAAAGTCGTTTTTAGATTTTTCCGTTAATCCATTACTATTTCCCCTTGATATTTCGGTTTCATAAATAACTCCACAAGTATGTAATTTTTCTGCGGACATCGGATTTTCTAAGTGACTACTACCAGTGTTCGTTTTAGTGAATTGAAAAGTAGATTTCATCTTCAATAAATGCGATACATAATTACAACAAATCTTGTAGTCATCTTTTGTTCAATATTTATAGACAAATAACCAAAGTCCTCTCTACACTCAAAATAAATAAAACAATTTGAAATTACTTACTTACAATTGTGGTCTAAAGATGCCAATCAGGTTCATTTATGTCCATCAAGGTTAAATTGTAATGATAACCAATCAGATTAACGTGTTATATTTATTCGATTAATCAACCAAAAATAGAACTGATTAAGTGTTGTGTGCCTACATTTCTAAAAGAAACAAATTAATGTGGATACGAACATTGTAAACTATGTAGAAGGGTTATTTCTTAGTTTGCCAATAATCGTATTGCAATATTACAAGGTAGTTAGTTTTATGTTGTCATCACAGTTAAATATTTTAGAACCAGTTCGTTATTCCAAAACTAACCAAAAATCCGGATAATTAGAATGGCAATTGCTGAACGATTTCTAAATCCTCACGTGTGTCACGTGTTTAGAAAACCCTTATCTAACCACTTTTTCCCTTTTGCAAACATTGCTGATGAATAATATTTTATTATTTTAGTAATGCGAAATATAACTAATCCATAAAACAAATAAAGTCCTGAAACTGTGGATTTAGAGGAATAAACTTTTGCCAGATTACTTACTAGTATTCAATGTGAGTAAGGAAATCCAGTGTTATGGGATACTGTGTTTTACATGAAGTTACTAAATCTGCAAATATCACCCATTTCATTTGGGGTCATGTATTCTGCACACGAAGTGCGGAACGTTAAAAGGGATCGTTGTTATGTCCCGGTACTTCGTAAAGTTCATAGAGTTTGCAGATATTCAGGTATGGAACATTTGTAAAATCTGAAAATTGATTGTCCAACAAATATATAGCCTGGAAACACTGGAAGGCCGCTTCGTCCCATTGTGGGGCTCCTCAGCAATGCGCGTCCACGATTCGAACCCAGGGCCATCAGCCTCGCGCTCGAGCGCTAGACCACTGAGCCGGCATCCAACAGTGCTAGTGTCTAACCTCAACCAATCTACGGCATTGCGCGATCATCTTCCATTGTACTGAGGTAGATACCTGTTTCTATAAGACACGGATTAGCTCTACTGGTCACGGCTTCTAACTAGAACTCCGAGAATCCCTTCACGAAGCTAGTCACTAGTGAGAATACATGAATTATCAGTACAGGGTCGTGGAGATTATCAAGTTTTTTGATTGAGATCATGAACCGATTGATGCTAAACCACCACTGAAAACCTGGAAGCACTGGACAAATTTATTATCAAGCTGTACATTTGTTTATTTCGGCTGTTTATTCTTCCTCATAATATTTGGGATTGTTATTGACCAGTCTCTTTTTGGCATATTTGTATCCTTTGCAGATTACCTAGATACTACCAGTAATTCACGAGCATTATAAAGAAACTGATCGATTGCAATCATGAACATCAATAAAGTGGTTGAACACAACCAATACAGACGAATTAAACTTCACCCCGTTACACTAGCTATTGGATATCTGGACACAGTGATTAAGTGGATAGCGCAATGACGTTTGAAGCGAACGAGTGAACATGAACTCTCGGATGCAGGTACATCCAGCTGACACTTCTCAAATACATTATCACCGTTGGATGCCGGCTCAGTGGTCTAGTAGGTTAGGCTTTCGAGCGCGAGACTGAATACCCTGGCTTCGAATCCCGCAAACGCGATCGTGGATGAGCACTGCTGAGGAGTACCACAATGGGACGAAATGGCCGTCCAGTGCTTCCAAGTTTTCAATGGTGGTCTAACATCAATCGGTTCATGATCTCAATCAATAACTGAATAATCTCGACAACCCTATACTGAAAATATTTAATCTTCCAAAGAACTATCATGAAAAGGTAAATCAAGTAATAATGAACTATTTTCTACGTTGAAATATGGTGTCAAAAGTATTGTTACTATTATACTCGGAAAATTCTGGTGAATGTTTAAAATAATCAAAACACTGATTTTTGATCGTATTTTTTGGAAATTTTCAAATGCTGTTGAATGGGAACTGGAACCATTCATCTAAATAAATATTACTTTTAACAGTCACTTATTTGAAAATAGACACAGTTTATGATGTGCTAAGAACATAAATTCGAATTTAACTCGTACCATCGACACTGCTGATTTAAGCATGTACCAGGTATGAAATTTTGGAAACTATGTTGGTAAATAATTTAAAAAAACAATTATTTATACAGGTAAACTATAATCACATTGAAACTGCATGAAGGAAAATTGTCAGCAATTTTGCTTGATAATGTTTATTTCTAAAGTTTTTTTGTATTTTCAACTCGATTGAGAATATTGAGTCCTTAGAAGAATATGTTTAACGGTTTGGAATTTAGAATTCAGAACACGAAGTTTTACCTATATATCAAACCTTTTAATACAGAGAAGTGTTTCCAGTTGCTAAATAGGCGTGTGCTATAAACTGAAATTGAGTAAACACTCTCAATTAGGTACCTTCATAACTAACTCACTGAAATATATATTCGGTGATATCCCGGTTAATGGAAGCGACACACTGATACTTAGAACGTAGATATAAAAAACGGATATATGTTCAAGATAAATCTGGAGCGAGAACGTTCCAAATATTATAACTGCGTCCTAATTGTTACAAATGTAGTACAGAAGTAGTAGGTAAAACCAGAGTAATAAATTAAAACCTTTCAACTGTGGGGCTTCTTAGTAAAAACCCAGAGGACCTAAAATGAATCAGATACTACATCAATAACTGAACAGCGGTCAACGCAAATGAAACAAGACAAAGTAACTAACTAAAACAAAATAAAAGTTCAGTTCTAACACACAAAACCAAATGACCGTTACTAAATTCACTTCGTATTTTTGACTTGAATCTTCCGATTGATGTTTAGGACTGCAATTGATCAGTCTCTTATTGACATATGTGTATACTGTGTGTATTGCCTTAATTCGCAAGCATTCTAAGCAAAGATAGGTAGTGGCTAGGAGTGGAATCCAGGACGCGTGTTTCGTCTTATTTGGGACTCGTCAGCTGGATGTACCTGCATCTCAGAGGGACTTCTTAAGAATATACTATAAGTAATGACCTAAATGTCTCAGGTAACTTAGTGCTTCTGATTCCTAGTATTTATTGATGCGCAGCATAAATTAGGTTTTTACTCTAAAATAAATAGAAAAGTATTTAAAATGAATCACTGACGTACAGATTCATTGAACAAACTATGTATAAATAAGTTTATCCTATTTTCGGGAAAGTTGTTAACGATAAAATCAAGAGTAAATGGGTGGTGAACAAATTTGTACCGAAGACAGAACCTCAGTTTTTATGCGCTTATGTTTTTTTTTCTAATTCTGCAGAAAAAGGTAATAAGCGAAGTGATGTTAATTGTTTAATTTACGTTATAACTAGAAAAAAAAAGAGTAAACAATGCACTACTGTGTTTTTCCACTACACAAACAATACTGAATCCGTTACTCTCGTACTGTGTTTGTCAAGACCTACATACTTACTTACTTACTTACTTACGCCTGTTACTCCTCGTGAAGGAGCATAGGCCACTCACCAGCATTCTCCATCCAACCCTGTCCTGGGCAATCCTTTCTAGCTCCGTCCAGTTGTAATTCATCCTTTTCATATCTGCTTCTATTATCCGACGCAATGTGTTCTTTGGCCTTCCTCTTTTTCGCCTCCCTTCAGGGTTCCAAGTTAGGGCTTGCCTCGTGATGCAGTTTGACGGTTTGCGTAATGTATGTCCTATCCATTTCCATCGTCTTTTCCTAATTTCTTCTTCAGCTGGAAGTTGGTTTGTTCTCTCCCACAGAAGGCTATTGCTGATGGTATCCGGCCAGTGGATGTTGAGTATCTTGCGTAGGCAGCTATTTATAAATACTTGTACTTTCTTGATGGTGGTTGTTGTAGTTCTCCAAGTTTCAGCTCCATACAGTAGAACTGCCTTGACGTTCGTATTGAAGATTCTCACTTTGATATTGGTTGAAAGTTGTTTTGAGTTCCATATGTTCTTCAATTGTAGGAATGCGACCCTTGCTTTGCCGATCCTCGCCTTTACGTCTGCATCTGAACCTCCTTGTTCATCGATGATGCTTCCTAGGTATGTGAAGGACTCTACATCTTCCAGAGTTTCGCCATCAAGAGTGATTGGATTGCTGTTCTCCGCTTTGAATTTGAGGACCTTGGTTTTCCCTTTGTGTATGCTGAGGCCTACTGATGCAGAGACTGCTGCTACACTGGCTGTCTTCATCTGCATCTGTTCGTGTGTACGTGATAGGAGGGCTAGGTCGTCTGCGAAGTCCAAATCGTCTAATTGATTCTGAGTTGTCCATTGTATTCCGTGTTTTCCTTCAGATGTTGAGGTCTTCATAATCCAGTCGACCACCAGAAGAAAGAGGAAGGGAGAGAGTAAACAGCCTTGTCTGACTCCAGTCCTTACTTGGAATGCATCTGTCAGCTGTCCTCCATGCACTACTTTGCACTGTAGTCCGTCGTATGAGTTCCGGATAATGTTGACAATCTTCTCAGGAACTCCGTAGTGTCGAAGAAGTTTCCATAATGTCCTCCTATCTACACTGTCGAATGCCTTTTCATAATCAATGAAGTTGATGTATAGTGATGAGTTCCACTCCACTGATTGTTCGACGATGATCCGTAGTGTTGCAATTTGGTCTGTGCACGACCGATCCTTACGGAATCCAGCTTGTTGATCTCGAAGTTGGGCGTCTACTGCATCCTTCATCCGGTTCAGCAACACTCTGTTGAAGACTTTCCCTGGTATTGACAGTAGTGTAATGCCTCTGTAGTTTTCACATTTGCTCAGATCTCCTTTCTTTGGAATCTTGACGAGGTGTCCTTCTTTCCAGTCCATTGGCACTTGTTCCTCCTCCCAAATCTTTTTGAATAGAAGGTACAGCATGCTTGTGGTTGCTTCGATGTCTGATTTCAGTGCTTCAGCTGGTATGTTGTCGGGTCCTGCTGCTTTCCCGTTCTTGATTTGTCTGACGGCCATTCTAATTTCTTCCGTCGTTGGTGGGTTGACATCTATAGGAAGATCTATGTGTGCTGCTT